AATAACAAAAGAAAAAAACACCTAACCCTAATTTGAAAGTTAACTTTCTTCTTTAAAAAAAAAAGAATAACCATAAAAAACACCTAACCCTAATTTGAAAGTTAACTTTCTTCTTTAAAAAAAAAAAGAATACCCCCCCACAAAAAACCCACCTCACCCTAATTTGAAAGTTAACTACAAGGAATTACTGTGAAAGGAGTAAATAGGCCCAAATTGTATAGGTCCACCGGCAGATTTCAGTACTGAATTACATATCAATAAGCCGCTAATGGTCGACGAAAGACCAGGAAAATGTCCGATTTTTTTCGGGTCTTTAACATCCAAAAAAATAGGTTTCTTTAATATCTAATTTTTGATTTGAGTTCAGCATATACATTTGCACGGAAATAAAACTATTTGGGAAAAAATTGAAGGATTAATAGCGCTCGAGTGTTAAAATGAAAATTTACCAATGGATCTGCCTTAAACAATGTTAGTTTTTCCCGTGATATGATCAGCTTTTGATCCGGTGTCAGAAGACGTGGCACCCACCGAACAGAAACCGTAGTAATGCCAAGTTTACTCTGCTTAACTCTCACACGGAATATGTTATTAGCATTGGCTATTTGATTTACAATCATTCGCTTGTCTTCTATTAGCATGTGGTGGACACGATCAATGTTTTCCTCGGTGTTGGCATTTGTAGGATATCCAGACTTGTGGTCATCTACGAGAATCTCCCTCTTCTAAATTCAGCTGCTTACTTTTGCACTGGTGTCTCCTAATGTAGCAACAATGTCAGCATGAATGTCCTTTGTGGGTAAACAATTTTTCTGTGGGTACACAATTTTTCTGTGGGTACTTGATAACAACATGAAGCTAAATTTTGTCTATTTGCAAGAGAAGTTGCTACTAGTTATTTTTGAAGTTTTCTTTGAACAGTCAAATATCAGTTTACCTGGAAGGAAGCAAATGCAGTTATTAATAAGAAGGGTTGAAATTAATGCATACAAGATTTCACAGCTCTAGCATCACTCCTTCATAGTCAGCCTATGAACCTTTCAGCCCACCCTCGTACCTAGAAAGAAACAATGCAGTTATTAATAAGAAGGGTTGGAATTAATGCATGCAAGTTTTCACAGCTCTAGCAACACTCCATCAAAGTCAGCCTATGAACTTTTCAGCCCACCCTCGTACCTAGAAAGAAACGATGCTGTTATTAATAAGATTCGAAAAGAATGCAGGCAAGATTTCACAGATCTAGCCTCACTCCTTCAAAATCAGCCTATGAACTTTTTAGTCCACCATTGTACTTAGAAAGAGACAATGCAGTTATTAATAAGAAGAGTTGAAATTAATGCATGCAGGATTTCACAGCTCTAGCATCAATCTTTCATAGTCAGCCTATGAACCTTTCAGCCCAGCCTCGTATGTTTATATAGGTTTCGATCATTAGGAGTGTTCTTTTTGTAATTTTATGTATATCTAAACAATATAAGTTTATTTATTTTCTGCGTCAATAACGTTAGTTCCTGTGTGTACAAATGCAATACTTGCATAATCCCTTGCATGGATACCCAGACAATTGTGCAATGATGGAACACTTTTGTCTAAATCTACTCGCGTAGCGTCAAGGGTACGTACGGTTTTGAAATCAGATTTGTCCTTCTAGACTGACTGCCAATCACGCCCGGAGAGATGGTATATCCTGCTGTCTAATCAATAGGTTCTGAGGAGATGGATTCATACCTTTCCCATGCGTGTTTACGCGTAAGTGAATATAACCACCTCGACTAGATTTCGAACTCGGCTCCATGATTTCTCCTTCCTATCCATTACGCGACAACGCACGTCCTAGCCATTCAATAATAGGCCTCTGGCCAACTGGTTATACACCTGCCGTATCTCCAGAGCATTATAGTTTAATTAAACTTATATTACACACAACGCCACCTGTAGCCGCCTGGCAAACACGTGAAATGCAAATGTTTGCGCATCTGGGTTCAAAGATTAAAATCCGTTCCTCGCCCCACTTTGAATTTTAAATTAAAAGTATAGGACAACTTTCAGAAGATAATTTTGTACCCGAAAACCAATCCATGTTAATTATATGTAGCTTATAGAGGTTAAGGCTTGGACAAGCCAACCCTGTCCTGAAGGAACAGCATACAGTACCGGTGACTACGCATGCTCAGTTACTGTTGCTTACGGAGACAGTGATGATAGCATCCGCAGTGAGGAATATAGTCATTTTTGGCGCCAACTGACTTATAACAAGACCAGCAGTACACGGTCCACTGAGAAAGAGAGCCATCCTTGGAGTCACCACGAAAAGGCATCAAAATACCAGCAGGTTATAGTGACAGTATCTGCGAAGAAGACGGAAGTTCCTGGAATACCGCTAATCATCGCAAAGAAGCCGTTCCGTTCATACAAATCCAACCCATGATAAAAGCTCTTATTTGCAGTTTATAGAGAGTAAGGGTTTGACAAGCCAACCCTGCCCCGAAGGAACCGCGTACAGTGTTAACGATTGCGTTATATGTTATAGCTCTTTCTAATATTATTAGGTATTTATTGCATTTTTTTTTTTTAAATTTTGGTAGTGTTAACAGCTTGTTTTTCTTCAAAGTAAATGTGCGTTCTATTTTTTCGTAGTTGCTGCTGTTAAAAGTGTTTAAATGATATCTTTCTTTTTAATCACTGGATAAAGTCCTTCCATGATTCTGTAGCGCCAATCTATAAGGTCCTTATATGATTAAACTTTTTGACGTTATTTTTAAGCATTGATCCGAGAAAACTGGTCCAGGCAGATGGTATTTCATGGGCAAAATGGATACGATATGACGGGGGGGGGGTATATAAGAATTTGACGCGAAATATCTAGTCAATGTCAGATATAAACATGGGTATTTGCGCATAAGTAAATGAAACGGACTCAGCTGGAATTCGAACTCGGCTCTTTGTTTTCAAATTCCAAGCCGCTATGAATTACACCATCCTCCCATTCTAGTGCATAAATGTATGTAAATTAATGCGCGTTGGTAAAATTTTGCCGCCTTAAGTTTGGTTCATCCAATAAAAGCAATTTACGGTGATAATTTTTTTTCCCAATTTGAAAAATATGAAAGATGATTTTTTTTTTTTAAGGAACGCAGATCATTTTCTTCTTTTTTTTCTCTTTTCTTTTCTTTTTTTTCTCTTTTCTTTTCTTTTTTTTTTTTTTTTTTTACGTTTCTTGACATTTTTTTTCTATTCTGGATTCAAAAGAAAGACCAAAACGAGGCCTGAGATCATCAGACTACAAAAGATAGTCCGTGTTTACAACCACAGCATTCGTTTTTCTATTATGCGAACACCTTTACGTTTTTTGTTTTTTTTTTCTCCTCATTGGGTTGAGGGTGAGGTCTCAAAGATTCTAGGTCTGCTATTCCATTCCAAGAAAACCGCCCCCCCGTTTTGTCTCTGAACAGATAACCACTTTTCCCGAATGATCCTAGTTTGAATCTACGAAGAGATATTGTATCCTTAACCGTAAAAACCAAATGTGACTATTCACAATTTATTTACATATTCCTGGTATATCCCCGTGAGTCATATATATATATATATATATATATATATATATATATATATATATATATAAAAAAAGCTTTCATGACATCTGACGCTTGAACTTAAGAACAGTCATGACACTTGACCCCTATGGAAGGTAACAAACTTTTTCTCTCCCTTTCAAAAAAAAAAAAATGGAGTGGGGAGAAAAAGAAAACTAATAGAAAATAATTTTAAAAAGGAATGGACATTCCTTCATCTATGGGCTAAATAGTACAGCTAGAGTAGCAGCTAGTCTTGGAGAAGGAAAACATTGAATTCACCTCATCTCGTCCACGTAAATGACAGAGCAGACTGGGAGCTTTAGCATTGTTAGGGCAACTAGTCTAGAAGAAAAACTGAAATCAATAATTGGCAAATAATAGTGTTATGGTCCAAGGTCCTTGTACCACGGTGATGGCCCAAGGAAGAACCAATAAAGAAGAACTCGAACACGGATATGGAATAACACAGATTTATTGCAAACAGGAATATATACACAGAAGTAGTAAGTGTTAGTACGAACAATCAGGTTTAGTAGGGGGAACAATGTAGTCGCGACCAGTATCACTATTCCAATGTCTTGTAGTAATTGTCTGAACGCGACTCTGTTTCGGACTGCTTCTGACTCGAGTGACTGACTTGCTCGCCCTGACTGACTGACAGACTCCTGACGGACTTCTCTCCAGAATTCAGACTGAACAGTATTTAGTCACCCACCCCCCACAAGGGCATCATGTGGCACAAGGCTGGTTTAACGTGGGATCTCCGAGCCCGTGGCCTCGGCCAAAAATATTCCCTTTGAACCCGTATACAAGGGGTTCAGGGTCGGTTTATCTCCCCGAAAGAGACTCCGCCCTACGGCGTAGCCTCTTTCGGATTCCTCCCCGCCCGAAAGCAGAGAGTTCAACCGATCAGCCGGTCAGCCGGTCGCTCGACTTCGGGCTGAACTCTTGAGGCGCAGTATTTATTACGTATGGAATAGTCCATTATGTTATTATGGGTAAGGTCCCATAACAAATAGGACAGTCCCTCATAAATAATAGGGTAAACTGAGCTCCTTAACCTTGGTAGGCCAATAAATCCAGGAGAAAGATACCCCTGAAGGCATCCCCTCGTAAATAATAAGTAAGGCTTGGCTCATTGAATTTGGAGGGGAAACCAATAGAGGAGAAAGAAAACTCATTGATTGCTTCATTTTCTGAGACTTAGCTACATTTTGCGGGTTGTTTAAAGGCAGACGATATTTTTAGATTCTAAGAATTGTTTGGTTGCGATAATAACGATTTAGTGATACAAGTCTTACTAATTAACCCATGGCTGGGGGGAGAGAATAAATAGATTCATAGCTTTCCCAAGGTATCTGCGCGTAAGTGAATAGAACGAGGCAAACTGGAATTGGAACTCGGATCTCCGCACACCCAAGTTTGCAGCACCTGGTATTCCCAAGCGGTCACTCATCAAGGTACTGACCTGGCTCGATGTTGCTTAACGTCAGTCATCGTACGGGAATTGGTGTTTCAACGCGATATTGCCGTA